TATGTTGATCTAGTAATTAAAACTATTTAAGTAATTCAGTAACCTTACTGAAACCAATAAAATAACTAATAAAATAACTTTTCTTCTAGAAACATCATAAATCATGGTAAAAAAAATCTAATCATAAGCTAATTAAATTTTTTTTTGCCCAACCCATAGGTAGTCCAAAGGTAAGAGCGAATTAATGGGATTGTATATGATTTCAACCTATAGTCCTAAATTTGATTCCCCTATTTTAAAGATTAGTTAAGGTGAACACAGAAAATAAAATATTTGTTTCTTGAGCATATATTATTTCTTTTTTACCTACCAAATTCTTGAGAATAGTATTTTTCACGCCTTAAATAATCTTTCGAACAATCAAGTGTCTTCAAGATTAATTAACAGTTTAATTATAATCACTAATCAAGAATATGTCAATTGTCAAGGCCTCTGTTTTTTGATGCTCTTAAAGCTTACTTTATCAGAGGATTTACTGAACAAAATTTAGATTTGAGAACTCAGCCTTTCACATATTCTAAGAACAACATCTTTTGATGTTTCAATTGATTAATTAATTAATTAAAACTAAGTTCTTTAATCATTACATTAATTGATTATATTAGAGAGTGCGGAATGTTTTATGTCCTTGACTTTGTTTTCGGGCCATCGATTTTCTGATTTTTAATTGAATCCCCACAGCTTTATTACAGGCACAAGTACGAGTACGTAAAAAAAGTACAAATAAATAAATCACCTTAAAAATATCAAACTAATTAGGGTTTTTAAGTTTAACCAATATTCAAAATTATTATCTTATGGATCAACCAACATTCTTTTTAACATTATAAGAAGTTTATGATTATTGAGTACACCAAAATCAGCAAAAATGGAGCTGCAATTCGTAAATATTTCTTTTATTCCATAACAATACTAGGAAACTTGGGGGAATATTATTTGGTTGATTTTGGTTACAATTGAATATATTTAAGATCCACATTAAAAAAAAAAAAATTTCATGTCAGTTCAATCAAGATGTGTGTACGTATCACACGCATACTTGACCGGTCGTAAATAACCTGAAAAAAAAAGCATGTACTAACTACTAACCACTAAGACAAATAAATAAAACACAAAAATATTTAGAAGAGTTAATGGTCGTGGCCTGCAAGGTTTGATTAAATTAAAAAAATTCATTTGTTATTAAGTTTTAAGTATTAAAATAAATGGTTAAAAAAAATTAATTTAGTAAATATTCATTAGCACGTAATATTGTAGTTTCTAAAGATTCACTAATAACAAATGAATTTTTGTTGTTACATCCAATCATGGAAAATCAAAATCTTTAATTTTAAGTTCAAAACTTGGTCATTATTTTAAGGCGGTGTTTATCTGAACTTATGAAAATTAGCTTATAAACATTTGAAATTTTAAGTAATTATGTGTTTAGTTAAAGTACTTATAAGTGATTGATAAGTAGTTAACGTGTTTAGAAAAATGTGGTTTATAAGTATATTTTATTATAAAATGACTAAAAAGGATACTACATTAAACAAGGGTATACTATAAAATTTTAAAATTAAATAAGGATAATGTGGTAATATATTTGGTCAAACTAACTTATAAGCAAAAAAAAAAAAAAAAAAAAAACCTCCCTCCCCAACTTTTTTTTTTTTCTTATAAGCTCAACTTATAAGTTCAAAGAAGTTATAAACAAACAGGTTAACTTAATTTTAGAGCTTATAAGCTTAGACAAACACCCCCTAAGAGTAATGTTATGTTCATAATCCAATTTTATAATATTTTCTTATAATTCTCGATGTGATAATTCGTAATTAGTTAAGGAATAATGCTATACTTACACCATTTTTTTACATCATTTTGTAAATATCATGATGTGACATATACTAAAACTACACAAATTTTATTATAATATTAAAAATTTTAAATAATTAAAAATTTGTGTAATTGTGAGATATGCCACATCATGATATTTACTAAATAGTATAAAAAAATAGTGTAAATATAACATTACTCTTGATTAAGTTATAATTGCTTAGATGGAACTTATAACAAATAGATAAAACCTAACTACAAACTACAAAGCTACTAAAGAACGTGGTGAGATTGGATTATGGAATAAATATTTCTGATGTTTTAATTGTATTATCACGTAATTTTAGAAATTTTATTTTCAAAACTTTTGTTCACAAATTTTCAAGCTTTTGAAGCTCTCTCTTTTCTCAATCCAAAAATAGAACTTTTTTATAAATATAATAAAATATTTATTTATTTCTTTTCAGTCACTTCAAATGGTAGACTTTTTCAGGAACAAAATGACAATAAAATTAAAACAAAATATAAAAAATAAAATAAATGGTTTAATTCATCAAGAAATGGTTGGTAATGATTAGTAAGCTATAGGGCTATGGTAAAAAAAAGGACATAGGGTGAACCACATTATAAGAAATAGCCTTTCAAATCAAACTTAAAATATAACATAATTTAATAAATAATTAAATTAATATTAAGATATCTTTGTTTTATTGTTCTTTTCCCGTTGAGGTTTCAGGTATTCTATTATCACCCTGAATATTTCAAAATCTGTTAAAATCCCCCCAACAACTAGCAAATGATACCATCAAATTAAGGTCTTAATCACCTTTATAATCATTTAATTTGATTTATAAATTTTTTTCAAGTGACTCAATGTCATATGATATTAACGGTCAGAGAAACAAATCACTTTGAATTGGGTTTACATGATTGATAACTTGATGAAACAATACGAGTCATACGACTGATACTTGTAACATTTGATTTGGTGATCAGACCAGACTGATATATTGTCTTCAATTGTAATCTAACATAAAAGATTAAATCACATTAGATCGTGAATGTTAATAAATAAAGTTATGTATATATAAATTACTATAGCTTTTTACACGGTGACAAGCACCTAATCTTAATAGAAGATATAATTATCATTTTGGTGTGATGATATATTTAGTTAATTATCGTTGTCACTCATATTTTTAGATCATACATACATCTTGCCTTCGGTTGTGATGTAGCATGATAGGTTAAATCGCATCTGACCATAAACATTAATAAATAAAGTTATGCCTTTATCAACTAGTATAGATTTTTATATGGTGAAAAGTGCCTAATCCTTAATAGAAGATATGAGTATCATTTTGGTGTGATTATCAAATATTTAGTGTTGATGCGTGATTTTGATACCAACTAATCGCACGTGGGAAATGTTAAACTGACTCAAAAGACACACGTGTGCAGGGGGTATTGAGCTGAATAAAGAGTGAAGAACGGTGTTTAAAGTGGTTCGGATGCTTAAGTAAGCGAATCCTATATCCACTAGTATCGTATTAATATATTTGAGATTAGGTCGCATTCAACGAGCTGATTTACAAGAGGTTACAAGAGAGAGAGAGAATATAAATGCTATTCTAGAGAGAAATTTGTTAATCCCATAAACGGGAGAGGAACCCTCTATTTATAATGGGATGAATTGAGGTAATGATTACTAAATCATGGAGTGGGTCAGATTGCTGTGCAAATCCTTCTTTGCGTCCCGTTATTCACCTACTCGAGTGATTTACTTGATTCTTGCAGGGGTTGAACACGTAGATTCACCTCCAGCCTTTCACCAGCTTGGCGCATACCTACTACACTTGCAGGAGTATACTTCTTACGTCAGCGTGCGACGTGGCTTCATCTGAATGGTTGTTGGACTGACCTAGGCTTTGACCACTTACGCTGATAGGGCTCTGCGTTAGCCCTACTTTTCCAGGCATAACATTTAGTTAATTATTGTCATGACTAGTATTTTAGGGGGTTTTTGTTGGATTTTCAAGTAATCGGATGAGAAAGACAGATCTAAGACTCTAGGGGGAAACAATGTAATTTTCCCTGATTTTCAGTATTTCACTATCCGTATCTCGATTTGTAAGCTGGAAAGGGCAAGTTAATAGAGTAGTGATTGGGCGGCATCGTTACGTGATTTCTGTCCAGTCTGTACAATTACCCACAGCACGTCTCTCTCAATTTCTGCATTCTTCTGACAACCGTATCCCTCTCTTCTGATTCTCTCTCTCTCTCTCACCACTCTTTTGCGTTGTGTTCTGTTTTTCTTTAAACCGAAAATTTACAAAAAAAAAAAAAAAAAAAAAAAAAAAAATCTGATGTTTGCCCTTTTTATTATATTTATTTCTTTTTAAGTAGGCTTTATAATCCAGCTTCTAAGAATATTAAAAAACAAAGAACAAAATTTTATGTTAAAAAATACATTACAAATTTATCACCATAAATATTTGTTTATATCATTTCCACAATGTGAGACTTAATTATAAAATGCTTTTATGATTTTTTTAATTTGGGTTTTTAATATTCTCAAAGTTTATTTTTAAACTAAACGGAATAAAGTTTAATTTATAAAAATTATGGTAAAAAAAAAATCATAATAAAAATGCTACAAAATTATCAATTGGTGATATGCTACATAAATATTCTTCTTCAAGGCAGAGTTTAGTAATGGCAAAAGGTGGTCGAGAAGAGAGACTGAAAGAGAGAAAGAAAGAGAAAGAGAAAAAAAGAGAAAGCAAAAGCCACAGAAAGAAGAGTCATCTATGAAAAACCCGAAAAAGACTTAAATAAATATATTTACTCGCTAAAACAAAAGCAAAAGAAGCTAAACACAACATTGTTTTCGTCTTTCAGTTTGGTTTCCATGTTGTGCTCGTGAAACAAAAAAAAAAAAAAAAAAAAAACCTCGCCTTCCTTCATGATCATCTTCATCATCATCAGTTTCAGTTAAAAAAGTTTCCATTCCATAGCTATTAGCTAGCTTTTCTTTTTAACCGCCATGGCCTTTTGAACCACCACTTTATATTCTCTTCTTCTCTCACTCTATCTCTCGGCCAAACCACTCTTTCTTCTCTTCTCTCCCTTTTTTTTTTTTTTTTTTTTTTTTCTTTTTTTTCTTCTTTCTGTTCTCTGCTTAAATGCTGCTTCAAGTGTGCAAATTTTGTTATTTGTTTTGGTTTTTTGTTGCAGTGGAGGCTCTGGTGAGTATAAAGAGAGGTCTGAATGACCCACATGGAGTGTTGAACAACTGGGATGAAGACTCTGTGGATCCTTGTAGTTGGGCTATGATCACTTGTTCTTCTGATAATCTTGTTATTGGCCTGTGAGTTTTGGTCATTTTGGTTTGTTTAAATGTGTTTCAGTCTTGAGAAAATTTGAAACTATAACAACTTTTCTGGGTTTTGATTTCTTTTCAGTGGAGCTCCAAGCCAGTCTTTGTCTGGAACTTTATCAGGAGCAATTGGAAATCTCACTAATCTTCGCCAAGTGTATGGGAATTCATCATTTTCAGCTACCCATTTGGCTTAAATTTTGTTTAAGATTGTAAATTTTGTTTCTTGCTTTTTAAAGGTTGTTGCAGAACAACAACATATCAGGTGAAATCCCTCCTGAGTTTGGAGGTCTTCCAAAACTTCAAACGTTTGATCTCTCTAACAACAGGTTCTCTGGTGTAATTCCAAGCTCCCTTGGCCAACTAAACAGTCTTCAATATTTGTAAGTATTTGATGATTTTTTTGGTCTCACAATCACAAATGAAGAACTCACATCATTTTAGCCACATAGGTGGTCTAGAGTTAGGCCTATTTTAATATTCATTTTTTTAGGCAGATGGGTTTTATGATATCTGTGCATTTGTTTATTTGAACTAATTATACTGTGTTGTTTTGTCATGTAATGAGAGCAGGAGGCTGAACAACAATAGCTTGACTGGACCTTTTCCTGTGTCTTTGGCCAAAATTTCCCAGCTTGCTTTCTTGTGAGTGTGGATTTTCTTTATCTTTAATTCTTTATGGGTTTTGTTTGTTTTATTGTCTTGAGAATAGGAACAACTTGCAAGCATATTGAAAATTTTCTGATTTTGAAACATTTTGGTATGATGATTATTTTAATAAATTTTGTTTTGTTTGTTACTATGGTGATTCAGGGACTTGTCTTATAACAATCTCAGTGGACCAGTTCCCAAGTTTCCGGCTAGAACATTCAAGTATGATCACTCATCATTGGCTCTCTCTACTTTTATCTGGTCACTGTTTATGCATTCTGATTTTTTATCTTTCTGCTGCGCTGTTTTTGAATCATGAATGTAGTGTTGTGGGGAACCCATTAATTTGTGGAAGCAGCTCCACTGATGTTTGCTCAGGATCACCCAATAGTGTTCCTCTTTCCTTCTCTCTAAATGCATCACCTGGTAACTTCTGTGATAATAAAGTTTGTCATTTATCACTCGAAACATCTTAAGTTATTCTTATTTTAATCTTTAATTAACCAGGAAAACACAATTCCAAGAAATTAGCAATTGGTCTTGGTGTTAGCCTGAGTGTTGTGTGCCTCGTACTCATTGCTCTTGCACTCCTTTGGCACAGAAAGAGACAGAGGAACCTTATTATCCTTAACATTGGTGGTCAGTAACACCAACCCCACTTCATTATTTTTATTTAGAAGCAACATTGAATGGTCAAAATCTCAAATTGGGTCTCTAATTTTTGTTGCAGACAAACCGGAAGAGGGTCTAATAAGCCTTGGTAATCTGAGAAACTTCACTTTCAGAGAGCTACAACTTGCGACGGACAATTTCAGCTCCAAGAACATACTTGGTGCTGGAGGATTTGGCAATGTGTATAGGGGAAAGCTAGGAGATGGGACTATGTTGGCGGTGAAACGGTTGAAGGATGTGGCCGGAACCTTTGGGGAATCTCAGTTTAGGACTGAATTAGAGATGATCAGCTTGGCCGTTCACCGGAACTTGCTTCGGTTAATTGGATATTGTGCCACTCCTAATGAGAGGCTTTTGGTTTATCCTTACATGTCTAATGGCAGTGTGGCTTCCAGGCTTAGAGGTTGGTACTTGCTTACATTACTGCACACTTTGGTACTAATTTTGCATGATGGACAAAATCAATATCTGATTTGTGTTTGTTGAAGTACTGCATTAACCACCAGATTGGCACTTATGAACCATAAGTTGGTCTTGGTATGGACCACTATTGGTTGTTCCAACTTCTATTCTAGGCAGGTTGGGACCATGACTAGGAAAGTTGAAAGTTGGTGGTTTCTAGTCAAAAAAAATTTCCAATACCTGATTTAAGGTGAATGTGGTCGATCAATTTTGGAAAATACCAAAACTGGCTGATTTGTTTTTTCGAAAATTTTCTAAGATAGACAAACTAGTAACTTATGCTATTTATTCATTTATCGTGGAGCTCTTGTTGGTTCATTATTTGGATATGACTTTAGAAAATAAAGTGATAAATGATGAGTCAGTTGTTTGACCATCATACGGTTGTATTATTATTTCCTGTTTGTTTCAAATTCTTTGTTTCTTGATGCTATTTTAATTGCCAGCTTCATTTGACTATGCTAAAATATTATTATATAAATATTTGATGGTAATGTAGAATAGTTTTGTCTTGTAAGATGCCGAAATGTGAATCTAACTTTGTTGTTATACTACTAATCTTTAATTATTCAAACCACTTTAATTATTGCAGCTATTCCTGCTTAGCATTAAAGATCCGTTGACAATTTGTTGATTTTTGATGTCTTTTGTCCGTTACTGCAGCAAAACCAGCTCTAGACTGGAACACTAGGAAGAGGATAGCAATTGGAGCTGCAAGAGGTCTGCTGTATCTACACGAGCAATGTGATCCGAAGATAATTCACAGAGATGTGAAGGCTGCTAATGTACTTCTGGATGACTTCTGTGAGGCTGTTGTTGGTGACTTTGGCCTGGCAAAGCTGCTTGACCATGCTGATTCTCACGTCACTACTGCTGTCCGTGGCACTGTTGGGCACATCGCTCCTGAGTACCTCTCCACTGGTCAGTCATCTGAGAAAACCGATGTGTTTGGATTTGGCATTCTCCTGTTAGAGCTCATTACTGGGATGAGAGCTCTAGAGTTTGGCAAGACAATAAATCAGAAAGGAGCCATGCTTGAATGGGTAAGTTCACTCTGCAAATTCTACTAGTGGAATTCAATGTCTGAAGTTTGATCACTTGAATCGACACAAACACGTTACATTTTTTTATTTTAAACGAATGCAATAACAAATCTGTCTTGATTTGAATTGTATGTCGTGATGCGTTAGATTGTTAGAATGCTTGCAATTGGTCTGATACATAACAACTGTATACTAAAACTTGAGTTGATAAAGTTGTAATGTTGATGGCAGGTGAAGAAAATTCAGCAGGAAAAGAAAGTAGAAGTGTTGGTGGACCGGGAGCTAGGGAGCAACTATGACCGGATCGAGGTAGGGGAGATCCTCCAAGTGGCATTGCTATGCACACAGTACCTTCCTGCCCACCGCCCCAAAATGTCGGAGGTGGTCCGCATGCTCGAAGGCGATGGCCTAGCTGAAAAATGGGCAGCATCACATAATCACACAAATCCCACCATGAACCTCTTCCATGGCAACACCACCAACAAAAACACATCTCGCCCCACCACGGCACCAAACCATGCCCATGTCCACTCCCACGACCAGTCAAGCATGTTTGGCACAGCAATGGACGATGACGATGATGACCGTTCTCTGGATTCCTACGCCATGGAGCTCTCTGGTCCAAGATAGTAAGAACAACAAAAAAATACAAGTGAATTTTTTTTTTTCCAAATTCTTTGCAAGCCAATATATATATTTAAGCAAAAGATAGGTTGATTTTTAAGTTGTCTAGCTTCATGGGGGTGCTGCAATGTAAATATTACTTGATGTTTTGATCAAATGAGTCAAAATCTCAATGGTAGGGGTCATGTTGATGTATAGGGGGCGACATTGTGAAGATTCTCTGATCCCAAGTGAGGGACAGAGAGAGAGAGAGTCAATTTGGGGAATTGATTCTGAGGGGTTTTGACTGAAAGTTGGTAATGATATTTGCACTGTTTTTGAGCTCTGTGAATTTGTGATGTTTAAGTTTTTGTTCAAAGTGAGTTGTTAAGGGTCATTTTCATGGCTGCTTTTTACAGGTCACGCTGGGGTTTTTGGTTTTTGGTCTGTTTTTGTCTTTCTCTTTTTGGTTTTCAATCCTTTCAGCCTCTGTGTCATCATTTTAACTGCTTTACCTCACCTCTCAATATCACTGCTCATTTTGCCCATAAGATTTGGGTATGTGCACTCAGCCCCCTGTTTTTTGTTTTTGTATTCAAAATAAAAAATCTAAGGGTGGCTTGGTTTATTATTTTGGATAGGATTTTGGAAATAATATTGTGTAGTGAATATGAGTATTACGAGGTAAAATTTAAATTATAAAAAAACCCCAGGTTCGCAATTTAATAAACACCCCAACATATAAAATGACAAAAACACCCCACACCCGCATGCCGAGTGCCAGATTTGGCCACCACCGTCGGAATCTGGTTGGAAAATTGGTTACGACACAAACCAGTCGGATTCGTATCGTAATGCCTCGCTATGACCTTTTCTGGCAAGATCCATAGAGAAAAGGCCAGATTCACGGCCAGAAGTGGGTTGACGGCCGGAAAAGGCCAAAGAAATGGTCGTCGTTTTCAGTCAATGACGGCCAGATCAGTGAACTACCGGCCCTTCTGGTCGTGGTGTAGGCCGTCGTATAGATTTCGGCTATCACTGACGGTGGTTGTCGGAATCTGGCAAGTCTGCGTTGATGGGAGTGTTTGTTTAATTTTTAAAGTTTTTTCTGGGGGTATTTAGTGAAATTAATAAACTTAAGGGATCTAAAAGTATTAAAAAATATAGTAATATCTTGGAATAAGTGCCAAGCAATATTTGGAGAATAGGATTGGGAATATGGGTAGAAATAATGAGCCAAATGCACCTAAATTTCTCTTATCTCCCATTTGGCCTCGAAGTTATGTTTTTAGTTCAAAATATATTTTTTCTAAAATTAATCATCCATGTTGTTAACATATAAAAATAAGAGCAATGTTACACATTCAAAAGGATCATAAGTTTAGGATTTCTTGATAATGTATTACCATTTTATACAGTGTGGTATGAGACGGACGCATTGGTTGCCTAATGTTATTGAACAAGAGTTAAAAGATTGAATAAAGATAGGTTGACAAATATTTCTCACAACTTTCTCTTATGAACGTTGACGTGATAACTCGTATTTGGTATGGTAAGACCTATTATTGGGTAGACGAGATTCAATGCGAGTTGACCAATTTCTACCTGACATGTCATGTTTGTGAGAAAAAGTTAATGAGAAGGGTTTATAAGTGTAATATTATTGTTAAAGATTTATTTTTCATGAACAAAATTTAAAATGGAATACAAGGGTGAGGGTTTGGTGTGCCACATAGTATAACGTTAGACATACTGTATAGCACTAAATAATGCTAAGTTTAAAAATAATGTAATGTATTATACATTAAATAATGCTTACTCATACCATTGCGTTAGTTAATGCAATGTTTCTTAGCATTAATTTTAAACAAATTAACATTACCAATCAGTTTAATATTTATAAATTTAAATATGCAATGGCGGGTCAAACGTTAATCAATGGCATTGACTATCGTTGATCAGTATTTGAGCGACATTGACAAGTGTTTGATAAACATTGATTGATGTTTGGTTGACGTTGACTTGTGTTGACCATTATTTGTTCATCGTTTGGACTCTCATTGGCCATCATTAATCATTGATTCATTCAACTTTTGACTTTTTTATAAATTTATTAGTTAAATAATAATTGAAAACTATATTAGTTTTTAATAAATGATTTTTTGTGAAAGAAAAAAAAATGATATTATGCAATGTAATTTAATAAACCATTTGGACTTCCGTTGACCGACATTTACTACTAACCCAGTAACCCATTCAACTTTTGACTCTTTTTTTTTTAATTTATTAGTTAAATAATAATTGAAACATATATTAGATTTTAATAAATTATTTTTTGTTGGAGAACAAAAATACTTTTATGCAATGTAATTTATAGCCAAATATAACAAATAGTAGAATATAAAAATAATACAATGTAATGTTCTATCAAACATTATACAACATTTAGCATAATATTATATAATACAATGCAATATTATGCAATTTGCTTAATGCTATACTATGTCGCGTATCAAACATACCCTTAAAATAGATAAAAATTTATGTCCTTTCCTGATGGTAATTCATCATTTTTGAATTGTTTCATTGAAATTAAAAAATAAAAATAAATTTTATTATAAGAAATACATTATTTAGGATGTTGGAAAAATAAAAAAACTAATAAAATTTATTTTCCTTGATTTAGTAACTCAAAGACTATGTCGTAATTTTGTTAATGAAATTAATTCTTAAAGGTATGATATAATAACAAAAATCTTTTTGAGGTTTTGGAAATAACAAAAATCCCTCCGCCATTAAGTTTTAGGTGTTAAGGTAAACAGTAGAAAGACAATTTGGTGATATTGACTAACTCATAATAACATAAATTTTAGCAATTCACTAATAGTTCATTAAAGATTAGAGAATTTATGCTATTTTCAAAAACTCAAAGGGATTTTGTTATTATATCATATTTTAGGGGATTTTTGTCATTAACTCAAAAAAAGAAAGATAAAAAGGTAACGAGTTGGGCGGTCCAAACCCGCCAAGCCCACTAAGTTTGGGCGGATCTAACCCACCAAGCCCACTAAGATTGGGCGGATCGAAACCCGCCAAGCCTAGCCAACTCTCTTCCAACTCAAAACTGCACGTCAAAACTCCAAACTTCTCTGTTAACTTCAAAGTTTAAACCTTTGCTTAGAAGTTGAAACTCCAAACTCCAAATACCATCAACAACAGTTAAGCCGAATCAAATCAAAATTTCAACAATTCTCAATCGTAATGTCCAGTCAATCCTCTACGGCGTCGTATCCGATCCTATTCGTTTCTTTCAATCAAGACAACAGGTACGTACGTTCAGTCAGTCTCAGTCAGTTCCGCCGCGATCAATTTCTTCTTCAACTGATTCGTAGTTTTGTTTAATTTTTAATTTTTGGAAATTCTGAATTTAGGTTTATTTCCTGCGCTAAATATGTTTGCTCACGTGTTAAATGTGCAGTTAAGTTGATTTTTCCGTTTGATGTAAATTGATGGAATCTTTTGTATTTCCTGAGAAACAAACGGAAAATTATGTAACTTGAGAGACTGAATTATTATTATTATTTGGAAAAAAATAATTTTCGGTTCTAATTTTAAGTAAATTCATTCAAATATATAGTTTTTTCTCGAAACTGAACAATTTGCCGTTGAAGAGACTGAGATTTTTTTTTAAATTTAAATATATTGTATGCGTTGAATGTGAACGTAATTAAGTTTGGCGTAATCTTAAATATTTCCTGAGAAACAAACGGAAATTTTGGTGTTTATGAGATGATGAGATGTTTTTTTGTAAATAATTTTTTTAAGTGGCTTTGCTATAAGCACGAAGGATGGCTTCAAGATATTTGATTCGAGTACAGGCAGACTCTGCTATGAACGAGGCAAGTATTTTGTTCTTGCATTAAATATGTAAATAATTTAAATTAAAATCAGATTGTAAATTATTATTGTTTTTTTAATTTCTTTTTGCTAGCGGTTGGAGCTTTCATAATTGTTGAAATGCTATATAGCTCTAGTCTTCTTGCCATTGTTGGAGCCGGTGAACAGGTTCTTTAGATTTTTACTAAATTTCAGCTCTAATATGCTTTGCAATATGTTTTAAATAGAATTTTTTGGTTTTGTTATTTTTGAGTAATTATGGTGTTATTGCTACAGCCATCTTTATCACCGCGCCGTATCTGTTTATTTAATACTACAACCGGATCTTCTCTTCGAGAATTAAATTTTTTAACTTCGGTCCTTGCTGTTCGCTTAAATAAGAAAAGGTAAGATATATATCGAATGTTCAAGTAGAAATTATGCTACTGATTACTCATGGTTTGTGATTTGCATTATGCATTTTGGGATTTGTGATTGATGTTTAAAACAAAATTCTGTCTGGTTCTGATCAGAAAAATCTTGGGTAAGGAAACATGTATAATTGCCATTTAAAGCAAACTAGAGTTTGATTATTGCAAGGAACATATTGTCTCCTGGAATGAATGCATGCAATTTGTCCTTTGAGTAGTCATTTATTTTTTTGGAATGACTTAAGTTCTGGTATGGTCTTTTTGGTACTACAATTTAGGTGGAGGAAATTTTAAACACTCTTGGCAAAATGCACCAGGTGCTATCACTAGTTAAGTGATCCTTTGAATGAGTGAGCCTGAAGTTTGACCATGATTCTAGTCTGATTGCTCTTTCAGTTATTGATTGCCAATTTGGTGGCATGACGGCAATATTGCAGTCATTAGTTAATTTGCCAACCACACTAAGGCTTCAGTGAAGAGAATGTCATACCTTACTGGAGAGTTGCTCCCTTTACATTATAAGTTCACAGAACAGAATAAAATTTTGTCTAGGGTGGACGGTAAGATACAGGTACCAAATCTACATGGACTATGATATGGTAGGCTGTGTTTGTATGGAGTGGAAGCTTGAAGTTGAGGACTTTTGGACTGATTCATTAGGAGAGCACAAAGACAGCCCTGCTGTTATGCTCAGGACTGGATGTGTTTCAGTCTGGAAATAAGAGTTCTTATAACTTATCTCTTTCATTTCCCTACCATTACGTTCCTAAATGGTTTGCCCATCTCATCTTGTTTGGGTTGTAATGCTGTGTGAAGTTGATTCATCAATTAAATATAAGTCCCACTGTCCTGAAAGTCCAATGCAATAGACCCTCCTCTAGTACTATAGCCTTGTCTTGAGTACCTTTAAATTTCTTTTCATGGATAAGAAGAGATTTTGAAGTGCTTGCAGTATAAGAGAGTAGTCTTCCTTTCTCTTCTTAATCTAAATTCTATTTTGTATTATGTTCTTCTGAACCCCCTTCTTTCATATAATTGTGATCTTCGGCTTTGTATGACCTATCTTTAAATTGTTTATGGATTCAGCACATTCTACATGAAGAGAAGTTTAATACTTTGTCATCTGTCTGCCATTTCTGTTTATTTGCTATCTTTGATTAATGCAGACTTGTGGTCGTTCTGCAAGAAAAAACATACGTATATGACGTAAATACTCTTGCAATTTTGGACACTATTGATACAGTGCCTAATATGAAAGGTAAGGCCAAAATATCCCTTCTTCTTGCAATTTTGTTTCCTTCACCCACAATGTTTGCCTAGATTAGTATGAGTCATGATGTGCAAGTGATTAAAATAACAAGAAAATTAAACTTATATGTCCAGTGACATTGACTCTTCTGCACTATAGGAGCCGTGTAGGTTTGATGTAGTATTTATTCTCCTAATATTATTTCTATTTACTTTAAAAATATTTTTGCCTCAGGACTTTGTGCATTCTCCCCTAGTTTGGATGCTTGCTTCTTAGCTCTACCTGCAAGTACATCCAAAGGATCGGTTTTGGTCTACAATGTCATGGAGCTCCAGTCACACTGTGAGGTTGTGGCATGAAATTTTCTTATTATATTGGAATATGTAACTTCTTGTTTTTATTGTGCTTGATTAAATAGTAACTTTCTTTTCGACAAGAAATCCTTTACTAATAAAGCAGAGGGCTGCCAAGTTTCTGGCATTGAGAAAATGATCTTGCTCTCTGTTTAGCGTTGAATTTATTGATGACTGGCAGAAATTACTCTCCTTACTTGATTGCAACTAGAGAGGTTTTCTTTTGGCATCCCCTAGTTCACTGTACTTATTTGTTATTCATTTAAATTACAGATCGATGCTCATCGCTCACTATTGGCTGCTATTGTCCTTTCTTCCAATGGGATGTACATTGCAACGGCATCTGAGCAGGGAACCATAATCAGAGTTTTTCTGGTTTCAGAAGCAACTAAGGTAAAGAGTAAAAACCATGTGTTTAATTAAACTTTAGACCTGAGTATCTTCATTCAGAGAGTATTTAATGACGTTCACATTTTAGAATTATAAGAAACACTACTTGGGGAATGTTTGTATGACATGATTTTCAAAAGTCTCTGAGAAATGTAAATGGAATACAAACAAAGAGAGCCAAACCAAAACTTCGGACAGCTCTTTATTGAATACACACTCAAATACGTATATGTTGCAAACAGGTTGGGTGGTAAAAATATGGCCCTCATCACAATGATTTGGAGCAATTATGGCAACAATTCAAACCTTCCATTGGGACCTAGCAATTTCTTGACATAAATTACTTTGGGTGTCCGTTCATTTTCTATATCAACTTGCATTCCTTGACTCATAATAAACTAGATCCCCAAAAGCAGTCTTACTATTTCTGGTCAATTGTTATTTTTCATTCCATGTATGGTATCTAATTTCATGTATTTTTGTAAGTCATATAGTTTCCGAAGGGGGACATACCCATCAACCATATATTCCTTGTCATTTGGACCATCAGTGCAGTTTCAGGATATTCTTGTAGCAACAAGTTCATCAGGTTCTGTTCATGTTTTCTCTCTGGGTTTTGCCTTAAATCAAAGGTGAGAACTAAAAGCAATGTTTTGCTGGTTTTAGATTCATTAGAACATTATTGCAAAAAACTGGACCACAATAGTAATCCTAATTTGTAAATTCATTCGTTATGCAAAATTTCTCTACATGCTAAGATTCTTTATCCTTTTCTTAGTATGCACGATGGTCATCTTGTAGTTTAATAGTTACTCATGCAATTCCTTTTCTTCTGTTTTACTTTATTTTTCATTTTCTCTTTCGCTTGCTCTTTGATAGTGAATGCTTGTTATTGACCTAAGCAATTATAAAGGCATCCCATAAACTTCACTAACACCATTACATACCTCCCTCTGTAGTTCACTTAATTCCAGGATAAAAAATTCTTGGAAACGTTGAACTCATGTTGGCATGAATTTGTGGCCACCCTCTTAGGACTTGGTTTATCTTAATATTAAGTCATAGAGTACAAGAGTCATTTTGATCAGTGTTTGACAAAAAATTATTAGAAGGGAGATCTGTGATTGTAAGTAAAACAGAATGTAGACTTTGGGATCAAGAGATGTAATTTGGAAACGCGAGAGAGTTTAAAAATTTCCTTTAATCATTATACCATGCCAGTTGTAAACTGTATAAGAATTTGCATGGGTATGTGATTCTTTCTTTCCTAACTTTTTGGCTCTTAGTAGGAGTAGAAGATCAAATAGTTTTCTTGGATCAATATTACCAGAATCTGTAAATGATGTACTGGATCCAGGTCATCATGATGTACTTCATAATGCTTTTCCAGCAGGAGTCAAAAGGTGAAGCATTGTAACTTTGTAATCCCTCTGCTGTTCCTTTATTTATTTATAAATTAGCTTGACAAATAGAATAGTTAAATACACTTCAAACTTTACCTCCTAGCCTGATTTGCATTATAGTTCCTAATTAGATAGAGTAGAAGATGAAATTCTTTATGTTTTATCACTTTGAGTGAAGAATTATATCATTCCTGCTTAAAGAGAAGATAAAAATGCTCCCACATTGGAAAATAGATCTCTTTGAACAAAATTATCATTCCCAAAAAAAAAAAAAAAATGCATAGTTACTGGTATTATTTTCTTTTGAAAATTAATAAATTAAATTAGATGGTTTGATACAGCTGTGCCGTGGTTCGAAAGGTAGACAGGGTAAACGACACATCCTCAGCTGAATTTCTAACTTATAGGTGAGCTCTCTGTTATTGTGCCTAGGCTTTGAAATTGCAGACTCCTATAATGTTGTTTCATTGTTTTTTTTGACTTCCGGATTGCTCTAACTACTTGAATTAAGTTGTCCTCATAAATTAATTAGAAAGATTTGCGAAAGAATTGCTAAATCCAATCTGGAAATTTCAAAATTCAAACAGGAATAAGCATAACTGACACATCCTCAGAAAGATATATTATGGAATTCTGTAGCATGTTTCAATTGGCAATACTTTTCTATTTGGTATCGCAGGGCCTCTATTTCAATAATAACCCACAACGGATTCTTCCAAGAATACACCTTAGCATCAAAAAGAACGCCATTGACAGCGGTACGAGCCTCATGGAGTTTGGAGCGGGAATTCAACCTTTTGACCACAATTGCAGACAGATAACACTAAAACCTCATCATCTGATCTCAAGTTTGAAACGCAGAAAATTGCATATACATCAAGTGTGTAGAACAAGCTCCAGCTGACACGACTCAACTGCCTGGCAACACTTCACTTATGGTGTCGAGAACATTGTACGTCTTTTAGCTCGCGGAAACTAAACAGACGATGCAGACTGAAGAAGGTAATCATTTCAATGTAAATATGTAAATTAACTAGGGCTTATCGTGTATCATATTACCTGGTAATTTTCTAATGATGTAATATTGTGAGTTCAGTGTTTTCCGTTTCTAAATTTTTTATCCCTGCATGACAGCATTATTAGAGTAAATGTGAAACTTATTTGTTACCCTCTTGTCCCTTTTAACTTAACACTGACAAGGAAATACAACTACACCCTTTTGATTTATATTTACCTATTGCCTTCAGGAAAACCTTCACCGAATTAATTAGGAAACCGTCTCAATTATTACAAACTAATTATCCTTTACTAGGAATCCTAATCGATATTAACTTAAACTATGAATTTTCTTATATAACGCTCTTAACTTTTCATTATTCCCCCATAATTTTCCTTCAATTTCTTCTGATATTCTCTCTTCAATTCATGGCTTCCAAAACCATCAACTTCCTCCTTCTCTCCTCCTCCTCCTCTCTCTCTCAGCTCTCTCTCAGCTCCATGCAACCCAAGAATCCAAAAACGGCATCCGAAAAATCTCGACTTGTCTTTCCGATAAAGGCTACAACTCCATGGCGCTAATCCTACATATGACTCTTCCCTCTCTAATCTCCGACTCAGTTTCAACACCACCACATTTACCATTCTCCCCTACACAAAGCTTTCTTGTCGTCCAAGTACCCTCAGCCTCCTCTAACCTTGCTTCGGTACCAGTTACTCCATCAACCTTCAACAAAACTCTTCCTCACGGCCCAAGATTGACACTCTTCTTCGCGGCCACCTCTCATGGCCACCAGCAGCCACCGCAAGGCTTCCATTAACGGGGTTAAGATTGTGGAGTGGGATGTTATAATGAGGGAAGGTTATTGTTCATGGTGTGGAGGAGTTCTTCGATCCTGCTTTCAGACTCTTCGTTATCCTTGATTTGATGATAACAATGGTGGTGTGGTGGTGGTGGGGAATAACGAGAGTAAGGTCGTGAAGGGTTTTAGAGATGATGACTTTCGACTCATCGTCTTGATGGTGTCTGTTTTGACTAAATTTTATGTCCTATTTTATGGGTCAAGTGGAAGTATTAAATTAGGATTTCTTTAATTGAAACAGATAGAATTCAGTTACCCATATATCATGCATTTATTATTATTATTTAGTTTGATTATAAAGAATAAAATAAACCTGTAGCTTGTTAATTAATCTTTGGGACTTTAGTTCCTTCAAAGCAATAATGAACATTCATTTCATTAATCATTTCTGTTATAGTCAATTTAATTACAAGATTCTAGTAATGAGACTGTCCCATGTAATATATATATATATATATAAGTTTTACATGAAGAGAAAATAACGTGCTCTTTCACTTCTCTTAATTTGTATTAATTCATGCTGTTTGTTCTTCCCATATTCTCCATATTATTCTATTCTCCTTCAAAACCTCCACCTCTATCTACATTATTTCAATACTAAATGACCTTGTGTGTGACCTAAAATCTAATCTCAATTTCAACATTGTCTTAATTATTAATCATCATCACCATTTAAATCCTAACATCATGCCTCACAAATTAACCTCCATACATCCTCCATGGCCGCCATAATGCATTCAAATCCATCCCCTCTCTCATCTTCTTCACCTTCACAACTCACCCTCACCACCATCACTGCTTCACAAAACGGTTAGTTATCGAACTCATTCATCGAGACTCCATCCGCTCTCCATTCACAATCACAAACAGAATCTCACTATCAAAGCTCAGCACGCCATTAGAACTTCCCTTGCTCGCTTGGCTTACTTGCAATCCAAAATCAAATCATCATCTTCAACCTCTGAAGAAGATTACGAAGCCGATGTTTTTCGAGCGTCAACTCCTCGTTATTCTACATGATTTCTCATCGGCCGCCTCCGACCGCAGTTCACTGTCATGGACACCGGCAGCAGCCTCCGTGGATCAATGTCAGCCCTGCCCAATTTTTCTAAACAATTTGGCCTATTCAATCCTTCAAAATCATCCACCTTCAATAACTTGCCATGCACATCACCTTTTTGTCGCTTCTCGCGGTGCGAAGAACTGTAATAACAATAATTTCTAAACAGATGTAGATATAACCAAACTTATGTTAATGGCCCTCTCTTCTGGTGTCCTAGCCACCGAGGAGATTGTCTTCAAAACGTCGATGAAGGCACAACATTCGTCCCGGAAGTAATATTCGGGTGCGGCCATGAAAACGGAAACTTCCACGATCGTCAACTCAGTGGAGTTTTCGGACCGGCCTCGGTAGATTATCCCTCGCTCTCAATTGGGTCACAGTTTCTCTTACTGCATAGGCAACTTATACGATCCTTTCTTCTACCACACACAGCTCATTCTCGGCCGTGGCGCCAGAATCGAAGGAGATTCGACGCCTCTCGAAGTCATCAACGGCCGTACTATATAACCTAAAATCTATAAGCGTTGGAGAAAAACAACTCGACCTCGACCCAATATATTCAAAAGAAAAAGATGGAGCAACGATGGAGTGATAATCGACACGGGATCGCCGGCGACGTGGCTCGTAAAAGAAGGGTTTGAAGCTCTGAGAGATGAAGTTCAGGGCCTCCTAGACATGTGGCTGACGCGGTTACTGGTACAATTCATGGACATTGTGCTACGAAGGGGCGGCGAGCGGGACCTGGTGGGGTTTCCGGTGGTGAGGTTTGAGTTTGAAGATGGGGCGGAGCTAGTTCTGGATAGGGAGAGCTTGTTCTTCAGGCGTGGCCGATGCGTTCTGCATGGCTGTGTTTCCGAGCTTTGTTAATGGCGATGACTACACGAGGCTGTCGCTTATTGGGATGAGGCGCAGCAGAACTATAATGTGGCTTATGACATTGGTGGGAGAAGGTTGAGTTTGAGAGGATTGATTGTGAATTCTTGATGATTAATTAATTGATGTTAATTAATTATTAATTATATGATTATAAATATTAATTGATCATAGGCATGCTGGAAAGTTCTTTGATTCCTGTATGGGTTCTTTTGTAATAAGAAAAATTTGGAATATCATGGCTATAATTAAAATTGTATTTTAATGATAAATAAATAAATAGTATGATTATTTTATTAATTTGGATCATAATTTGTATTTGATTAAGTATCGGTTATGGACGCGAAAGTATTATATAAGGTAAGATATTGATAAATAAAATGTCACATCAAATTCTAAAGTTTAGATGTTTACTTTGTATTTTAACATTATTTTTAACTAAAGCGATTAATTTAATAAAATAATTAGGTCATCTAACCTAAATATATGACACAAAAATTAACTTATATCAACTTCTATATCAACCCACCTGGCTGGTCTGATGATAAAAGAACAAAAAGAGGTTCAATAAGATTTTAAGTTCGAATCACCCTAAACACTAATAGAGGTAAAGAGGTTCCATGAGATCTGAATTGAGTTGTCCTAAACACTAATAGGGGCAAGGAGGTTCTATGAGATCTCAAGTTTAGTTGCTTAAACAGAAATAGAGACAGCTATTGGGGCGCTTTTATTCGGTGTCAGTTTCAACACTCGGGGGATTAGTCATTAGTTATCTTGAACTTAAAAATCAAGGAAGTGATGAAAAATAAAACAATTTAACTTCCATATCCAATAATTTTAATATCATAATTACATGATCACCCAATAATGTTAATGGGCTTTTGTCTTTTAGTTGCCGGGAACTAAACAGACGATGCAGACTTGAAGAAGGTATTTGTTTCAATGTAAATTAACCAGGGCTTATCGTGTATCATATTACCTGGTAATTTTTCTAATGATTTTATATTCTGAGTTCAGTGTTTCCCATTTCCGAAATTATTTCCCCATGCATGACAAGCATTATTACAGTAAATGTAACTATTGTTGGCACCCCTCTTGTTTCAAAAACTTACAATATCACCCCCTTTTTATCTTTAATCACTGACAAAGTGACAAGGAAATAGGAAACTACATTTAGTTAACGATTGGCTTCAGGAATCCTTCACCGAATTAATTTAGGAAACCGTCTCAATTATTACAAACTAATTATCCTTACATAATTAACATTAACTTAAACTAGGAATCCTAGTCGATATTAACTTTAAACTAATAATTCTCTCTATAAATAACGCACTAGATTTTCATTATTCCCCCATTAATTTGCCTCCAATTTCTTCTGATATTCTCTTCTTCAATTCATGGCTTCCAAAACCATCAACTTCTCCTCCTTCCTCCTCCTCCTCCTCCTCTCTCTCTCAGCTCTCTCTCAGCTCCATGCAACCCAAGAACCCAAAATCGACATCCGAAAAATCTCCACTTGTATCTCCGATAAAGGCTACAACTCCATGGCGCTAACCCTACAGATGACTCTTCCCTCTCTAATCCCACCCCACTCAGTTTCCAACACCACCACATTCACCATCTTCTCCCCGACTGACAAAGCTTTCTTGTCGTCCAAGTACCCTCAGCCTCCTCTAACTTTGCTTCGGTACCACGTTACTCCATCAACCTTCAACAAAACTCTTCCTCACGGCTCCAAGATAAAGCCTCCTTCAATTTCCACTTCTTGACCCTAGGAATTGAAGTTTGGTCTTGTGTTCACAACTGTTGTTTTCTGTCCATATCATTATGCTGCGAAGTTCTTTTTTTATGGCATTTATCACTATGACTAATTCAGAAGAAAGTGATTATGATTTTCTAAAGTATAATGAATCTACTTTTATATCGACTATATTCTATATGTAGGAACCTTCTTCTTTAATCACTCTGAAACATGATTTGGAGCTCGACATGTTACATCAAAATGGTTGAAATATCCTAGACATGGAGGATAAATATGATCTTTGTGAAGGTTGTGTCACACCAATTAATCGAATTAGTATTATCAATGAATGGAAAACAACATAACCAAAGTCCAAGATAATTTGTTAAGAGACTTTCAATACAAATTCTTATGCATGACCTTAGTGAAGGTCTTGTCTTTACCAATCAAATCGCCTTCATGGAAATCAACACTTAGGTTGAAGATGGCCATATCTAAGAACTCATTATCTATATT